GAATTGCTTAATATGGCCCTTCTAGCCATAGGCCTCCATTTTGTGATGTATTGTAATTCTTAGTCTCTATGCCTGTATAAGGAGCTCTGGTGGTGCAGTGCCTAAGGCATTTGACTGCTAACCAAAAGGTTGGCGGTTCAAATCTACCAGCCATTCTGTGGAAGGAAGACCGTGCAATCTGCTTCCATAAAGATTTACTGCCTCAGAAACCCAGTGGAGGTCACTATGAGTTGTGATTGACTTTATGGCAGTGGGTTTCGTTTGATGCCTATGTACATAGATACCTTGCTGGAGAGTGTGACTGAGCTCACCACCCTTTGTTTCCTTAAGGGTATATGTGTGAATGTTCTGGGAAAGTTTGCTGTCTTGCTCCAGTCTTGCGTTTGGTTCATCATCATCTCACCCTTGGACTTGAGTCAGCAGGAGGTCATCTAACCCTACAATTTGGGTTTACCAGCCACTGCAACCACAGGAGTGAGGAGAATCCTCCAGACCTACCTACCTCACACCTTTACAGACTCCCAGCCTCTACCACCATGTGAGCTATCATCTTGGCAGTTTGTGAGTTCTGTGAGCCAGTACAGCAAAATTCATAGCCCTGAGACAGGAGTGAGAGTGCTGAGGGGAGGGGGAAGAATTGATGTTAGAGATGATAGAGTGGTACAGCAGTTGAAAGCATTGGACATTTGGGACGTCTTTTACCTCCACCTCCTAGATACAAGCCTTGTATTGATCCTTCTAAAAGAAATTTTTAGACCAGTGGATTACACTGCAACAAAAAGAAAACAAAAGTCTTCACAACTGGACCAGTAACCAGCATCAAAAAAATGGAGAAAAGATTGAAGTTGTCAAGATTTCGGTTTACTTGGATCCACAATTAATGACCATGGAAGCAGCAGTCAGGAAATAAAACAACATACAACGTTGGGTAAATCTGGTGCAAGAGACCTCTTTAAAAAAGCAGAGATGTCACTTTGAGGACTAAGGTGTACCTGAGTCAAGCCATGGAATTTTCATTTGTTTCCTGTCTGTGCAAAAACTGGATAATAAAAAGGAAGACAGAAGAAAAATTGGTGCATTTGAATTATGGTGTTGGTGAAGAATATTGAATATACCATGGACTTACAGAAGAGTGAACAAACCTGTCTTAGAAGTACAGCCCGAATGCTCCTTAGAAGTGGGGATGAGGAGACTTCCTCTCCATGCCTTGGATATGTTATTAGGAGGAACCAGTCCCTGGAGAAGGACATCATGCTTGCTAAAGTAGAGGGTGAGTGAAAAAAAAGGAAGAACCTCAGTGAGGTGGACTGACAGTGACTGCAACAGTGGGCCCAAACATAGCACTGATTGTGAGGATGACGCAGGACTGAGCAGTGTTTTGTTCTATTGTACATAGGGTTGCTGAGTCATAACTGTCTGGAAGGCACCTAACAACGACAACAACAACAACACGTGGGTATGAAGTGGTATCTCCATTCATTATGGTTTTAATTTGCATGTCCTTGATGACTAATGATTTTGAGCATCTTCTTAATACCTGTTATTCAGATATTTTTTCCACTCTGTAGGTAGTCTCGTCACTTTGTTAGTAAAGTTTTTTGATGCACCAAAGTTTTAAATTTTAATGAAGTTCATTTTGTCTATTTTTTCTTTTGTTGCTTTTGCTGTTAGTATGATATCTAAGAGTTCATTGCCAAAAACCAGATTCCAAAGCATTACCTCCCCCATGTTTTGTTCTAAGAGGTTAATGGTTTAAGTTCTTATATTTAGGTTGTTAGTCCATTTTGAGGTTTTGTTTTTTTTTTTTTTTTTAAATGGTATGAGGTTTGGCTCCAGCTTTATTTATTTATTTATTTTGTTTTTGCATGTGGAGGTCCGGTTGCCCTAGCACCACTTACTAGAAAACTCTTGGTTATTCCTTGACTTGCAATGGTATTCCTTGGTCTGTATATTTGTCCTTATGCAGGTATCACACAGTTTTGATTACTGTAGCTTTATGGTACCATTTGGAATTGGAATGTGTGAGTCCTCTTACTTTATTCTACCTATTTAAGATTGTTTTGGCTGTTTTGATCCTTTGCAATTCCATAAAGTGCCCTGGTTGCTCAGTGGTTAAAACAGCTACTCAGCAGGTAGCTGAAAGTCTGAGGTCCAAACCCACCAGCTGCTCCACAGGAGAAGGATGTGAAGGTGTGTAGTCTGCTTTTGTAAAGATTATAACCTTGGGCACCCTATGGGGCAGTTCTACTCTGTCCTGTAGGGTCACTGTGACTCAACAGCAGTGGGTTTGGTTGGTTTTGGTTTTGCAGTTACATATGAATTTGAGGATTACCTTTTCCATTTCTGCAAAAAAACGGCTGTTAGGGATTGCAGTGGACCTGTAGATCACTTTGGGTAGTATTGATGACATCTTAATGATGTCTTTCAAATCCATAAACATGGATTTCTTTCTGTTTTTTTTTTTAGTCTTGTTTCTTTCTGCAGTGTTTTATAGTTGTTGATGTGTAAATGTTCACCTCCCTAGTAAAATTTATTCTTAGGTATTTTCTTTTTTTAGATGCTGTTGTAAATGGAATTGTTCCCATATTTCCAAGTTGGATTGCTGGTGTATAGAAACACAACTGATTTTGTGTGTTGCTCTTGTACCCTGCCACTTTACTGAATGTATTTATTAGCTCTAGTAGTTCTCTTGTGGATTCTTTGGAGCTTTCTACATACAGGGTCATGTTTTATTCAAGTAGAGTTAGTATTACTTCTTCCTTACCCATTTGGATACCTTTGATTTCTCCTTCTTGCCTAAGTAGTCTGGCTCGAACGTCCAGTACAGTGGTGAAAGCAGACATTTTTGTCCCCCTGATCTTCTGTGGAAAGCTTTGAGCCTTTTTCTAGAGGATTTTTTGTTATGTGCTTTGTCATGTTCCTAATGGGCTGAGTGGGATCTAGTATTAAATGAGAAAGTCTAGGTAACTTTTATTTACTTCAAATCCTGTCTGCTTTAAATTGGGTAAGCATGTGGTCTCTTCACCTATAGTCAGGTTTGTGGAAAACTGGAAGTAGCAGTTTTGTAATCAAACCTGTGCTTAAATCTTGCCTTTCTTATTTTCTGGTACTTTAAAACCACCTATATGCCATCAAGTCCACTCTGAGTCACGGCAGCCCCTTGTGTATAAGGGTGGAACATTGTCAGGCCTTTCTTCTGAGGTATCCCTGGGTGGACTCAAACCACCAACCTTTTGGTTAATGGCCAAACATGTTGACCATTTGCATCAACCAGGGATTCTTTTTGGTACTTTAATTTCCTCAAATATGCAATGGAATTAGAACACTTAACATTCTAGGTGGTCAGGAAGATTAGAGCTGAAGCATATAAAGCACGTTGTGCAGTGCATGTCTTTTTTTTTTTTTAATTTTTATCGTGATTTGGGTGAAAGTTTACAGAGCAAATTCATTTTCCATACAGTTCGGATACATTTTGTTTCATGACATTAACTGCAATTCTTCACAATATAACAGCTCTCTTCCCAGTTCCTGCCTGTAGTTACCTCTTCTCTATGACCTTCCCTCCCGTGCACTCTCACCCCCCAAGCTGTCTCCCTGTGCACACGCTGCCCTTCTGTTCTCCCATGATTGATCACTCCAAGGAGTGTTTCTACCTGGTGTAAATGTTCACTCCATATGCCTGTCTGTTATCTGGCCAGAAGCCACAGGAATGAGTTCAGTTCCAGACCTGAAGAGTAACTAGGGGCCATAGTCTCAGGGGTCTCACCAGGCTCTATCAGACCAGCAAACCTGGTCTTATCTTTATGATTCTGAATTTTGTTCCACGTTGTTCTCCCACTCTATCCAGCATCTCCTACATAGATTCCCCCCTCGAGTGGTTGACAGTGGTAACTGGGTACCATCTAGTTCTTCTGGTCTTATGGTCATATAGACTGAGGATCGCATGGGGTACCAGTCCCTTGGATATTGTTTCCATGCATCTTTGGTTTTCTTCATTTTTTCTTTGCTCTGGGCGAGGAGAGACCCATTGTTGAATCTAGATAGCCACTTGTAAGCTTTTAAGACCCCAGTCACAACTTAACCAAAGTAGGATGTAGAACAGTGTTTTTGTGTAATCTGTTACACCAGTTGAGCTTGTTGCCCTCTGTGACCGTGGTCTCAAGCCCTCAGGTCCAACTACTCACTCCCTCCGGGTAGTAGGAAGCCGCCACAACCTTGTCCCTTGTCAGTTGTCCTATACGCCTGGACATTCTAACAACACAAACAAATATGCATGTAGAAACACTGTCTGCTAACCCTATACATGGTCATGAGCACACTCCCTTGCCTGGACATGCCTGATTGTTCAGTCTGTCTACCCATCTGTCTACCTGTAGATCAATGCTTGCCGTCACTGACAACATGGTACTGTACACAGTGCATGTCGTTTACAGTGGTAGGCATTTTTTGAATAGTGGCTCTTACTGTTACTATTGAATAAACTCTTTGGGGGCAGCATCCTTGGTTTAAACCATTTTGGTTACCCCTTCAACACCTAGCATGCAGGTAGTTAGTATCAGAGTCGTTGCTTTGGGAAACATTGGCGTGTAAACTGAAGTGATGAGATTAAGTAGGACTCCAGGGAAGACACATTCTGGAAGAAGAGGACCATCTTGGGCATTGTAGGGATGGTCATCTTGAAGTTCCTTCGGAATGTGAGCAATTGTGCTGTGCCAGAGGAAGCTGCTGTCCACTGCAGAGTCAGATCAGCCAGCTAGTACAGCCACTTGACAGACTAGTTGGCTCTGCAGCTAGGAAAATTTTGTTTTACAAATTAAAGATAGTGTTTATTCAACCAAAATACTAGGTCACAGCAAGTATATTGAAAAGTTGTGGGGAAGGAAATCATAGTAATGGTAAAAGATCATTCCTTATATTTTGTTAAAATATTTTTATTTTCATCTTCAGCTGTAACTTGTGGTTTTTTTGTTTGTTTGTTTGTTTGTTTTTCTCCCAAACAGACTTGTAAAGAAACCAAAGATGTTAGCGCCCTGACAAAAGCAGCTGATTTTGTGAAAGCCTTTATTCTAGGATTTCAGGTGGAGGTAAGTGAATTCATGACATCCAAAATGGGGACTTAGAAAAATAATCAATATGAACATTTTAATGGATTTGAGCGTTTTTTAAAATTTGTGTTTTCTGGCCCTGTAATTTGTGGATTTTAGTTTTGCGGTGCTTCTGCTTCACTCCTTGAAAAGGAAGGGCCTTCACAGTGTTTGTTTTCTGTGTTGTAGGATGCACTTGCCCTCATCAGATTAGATGACCTCTTTCTAGAGTCTTTTGAAATTACGGATGGTGAGTGTATGGTGGTCTTTTCCAGGGAAATCCTGCCCTTTTGTATTGTTGAGTGGCAACTTGCAGTTTTTTCCAGTAGCATGGAATGAGTTGTATTATTAGCAACCTTTTTTTGTAATGCCTATTATTTTTCATTTAGTAGGGAGCTCTGGTAGCGTAGTACCTAAGGCACTTGACTGCTAACCAGAAGGCTGGCGGTTCAAACCCACCAGCCACTCCTCAGAAGGAAGGTGGAGCAATCTACTTCCATAGTGATACTGCCTCGGAAACCCAAGGAGGGGATCACGCTATGAGTGGGGTCCCACTCAACGGCACATAACAACAGGAAACTTTATAGTTAATGATTTACCTTTTTGCGTGGTGGTGGGTGGTACACTGGAATGGCTTGCCCGCTGAGGTATTGCTCTTCTTATTTAGTTAAGCCTTTAAAGGGAGACCACCTCTCAAGGGCAATAGGACGAATCGCTGGCAAAGGAGGAAAAACCAAATTCACCATAGAGAACGTGACACGGACACGGATAGTTTTGGCTGATGTGTAAGTATCTGCTCTTCAGAAAATCGTTGTCATAATTTACAACTGATCCTGTTTTCTGTGTGTGTGTGTGTTTTTTTTTTTTTTATTGTGGTTTGGGTCAAAGCTTAACAGTGAGTTGGTGTTCTGTTCAACGATTCATACACATTTTGTTTCGTGACACTGATTGGAGTCCCCACAATGTAACAGCTCTCTTCCCATTTTCTCCTTGTGCTTCCCATTTCCCTTTGTCCTTCTTTCCTGTCCATTTCTGTTTTCAGCTCTGTCCCTGGGAAAGTGTTCCCATTTTGATCTCATATACATCTGATCTTTTGATGGCTAAAAAAAAAATAATAAATTATATTTCAATAAAATACATTTAAAAAAATATTATAAAATTTGTATTTTATTCTTAATGTCACCACAGAATTTTTATCAGTACAGGTAGTCCCCAACTTATGGTGTGTTCAAGTTATGACAAGTTGCACTCAACTGTTGTTTGTTTTTTTTTAAAACATCATTAGTAATAGGTACTACACAGTGTTGTAGAGCATAATTTGCTGATGTTATCATTCTCAGGTTAACTCATTTATAAATGTTATGATTTATAAAGATACTAATAATAAAAGACAGTAATGAAAACTGAAAAAAAAAATTCAGGTATTAGCCTTATATCAGAACTGACTTATGACAAGTTCAAATGGAAGCCTGTCGTGAGTTGGGGACTGCCTGTCTGGTTCTTGGTGAATAGTCACCTACTTTGAAAGCACGTTAAGGTTATTGAGAAAAATTTAGAAATTACAGCTTTTTTTCCTCAATTAGCTATAAGGGAAATGTATATGATCACTTAAAAGAAATTATGTTACAGTTGAAGACTTAAATAGTATTTTGGGGCAGTTGTAAACCTATAGGGGAGAACAAAGAGTTGGTGTTTTAAATGCCTCAGGAGGCTTTCCTTTGTTTAAAAAAAAAAAAATTTACAAAGGCATTTCATGAAAGAAAGGTGAATATTGCAAGTTGGGTGAAAAACTGAAGAGCATCTGTAAGACAATGTAGGCTTAAAATAAAGGTGGTAGAAGGAAGAAGGCTCGGATTACCCCTCTGAGAAGAGTGGAGCTGCTCTGTCACCAGGTTGAGGATTTTACTGGCAGATGGCTTAGATTATATAATGCCATGAAGTTGGGAAACGAAGCAATTGACTGAGAGGAGGATCTGCCTGGTACTAAATCCAAAAATAGTTTCATTTTAAATGAGCTCATCTTTGTTCTAAACTGAGAGGCTCATTATTTTTCAGAACCCAAGTTTTAGTCTATTGTTTATACTTTAAGAAATGGGACTCTGTTGTGGCCTTCTGTGCATGAAACCAGGTATTATAATATTTTTTAATCTTTCATGCATTGAGCCTGGAGTTGGAAATGTGAAGCCATGAGAAAAGCTTTTTTGAACTAGAAATGTAAAAACTATTGAAATGTATTCTACATTTTAAAAATATTATATATAGATCAAAAAGATTTTATTAATTTAGAAATCAAAAAATATAATTGATTTGCTAACCAAATTACGATTGGTTTGGTATGTTATATTAAATTTATATGCACTGCTGTCAACTCAGATCCAACTCATAGCAACCCTTCCAAGGCGATATCACTACAGAAGTAGATTGCCCAACCTTCCTTCTGAGGAGAGGCTGGTGGCCTTGAACCGCCAGCCTTCTCTTAGCAGTCAGATGCCTTAGGCAAAAGTGTTCCCTTAAAGTTTACTAGTTGAACTGACTTTTTAGCAGCTTTGTGAGGCATCATTTACTTAAAGTTCACCATAATCCCACCACAATCAAACATCTGCATCACCCCAAGAGTTCCTTGTGCATCGTTGCAGTCATGTTCTTCCTTGACCCCATTCCGAGGCAGCTACTGAGCTATTTTTCTACCACTATAGTTTTGCCCTTTCTAGAAATTTATATAAATGGAAACACACAATGTATATACATAGTCTGTCTTATTATTATTATTATTATTATTATTATTGTGATTTGGGTGAAGATTTACAGAGCAAATTCACTTTCCGTACAGCAGTTCACATATACTTTGTCTCATGTCATTGACTACAGTTTACCACAATGCAAAAGCTCCCCTCCACTTCCTCTCCATATTTACCTCTTCCCAGTGTCCATCCTCCATACACTCCTGCCCCCTGGGCTGTCTCCCTGTACATAAACAGCCCTTCTTTTTCCCATGATTGTTCTCTCCAAGGCGTGTATCTACTTGAGGTAAATGTTTAACTCACATGCCTATATTTTGTTTGGCTGGAAACCACAGGTGTGGGTTCAAGTCCAGACATGAAGGGCAGCTAGGGGCCATAGTCTCAGTGGTTCCACCAGGCTCTATCGGA